TTCCACAAGGAAGCATACTAGGACCCACCCTCTACTTAATATACACATCAGATCTCCCAACGACGACCAATACAACAATCGCTACATATGCTGATGACACAGTTATCATGGCTTCAAATTCTACGGCAACTGAAACATCCCATGTATTACAAAACCACCTACTTAAACTAGAGAGCTGGCTTAAACTGTGGCGAGTCCAAGTTAACAGTTTAAAATCAACACAAATAACGTTTACTTTAAAAAAGGTGTCGCGCCACCAGTTTCTATAAACAACACTGCACTACCAGTTAATACCGTCGTTAAATACTTGGAACTCATTTTAATAGCAAACTTAATTGGGGTATTCACATCTGGAAGAAACGCCTTCAACTCAGCTTAATCTACAGGAAAATGCATTGGTACATGAGTCGAAAATCTAATCTAAGCCTGGAGAACAAACTTCTAATATATAAATGTATTTTAAAACCGGTATGGCAATATGCAGCACAAATCTGGGGTACAGCAAGTAATACCAACATACAAAAACTTCAACGATTCCAATCGAAAGTACTGCGCCAGATCTGCAATGCCCCTTGCTACATTACGAACCACAGATTACACCACGATTTACAGTTACCAACAGTTAGCGAAGCAATATCTGCCGCAAACGCTGTATACAAGACCAGACTATCCTGCCATCCAAATCCGCTGGCCACGGATTTGCTCAACATTTCACACGAAAGAAGATTAAAACGACCAGACCCTTTGGACCTCTAGTAAACATGGAGAAACAGAGCATAGTGTCATAGTGCGGTGAAATAACAAGTTTTTATTCTGGTGTTTTCTAAATCTTTTCTTGATTTTTTTTCTTTTTTTTCCATTTTTTAGTCTTGTAATACTTATATGTGTGTCAGTGATGTTTATCTGTATTAAACTTTGTTTGTTAAGTTGAAGTTTAAATTAATTGTTATATGATATATTATATTTATATTATGTCTTACCTGGGTGCTTGCCACTGGGCGGCTTCCCACTATGTTATTGTACATAAATTATACATATTGCTTATTGTTTGTAATGAGACAGATTGCAATAAACATTAGACGTTAAAAAAAAATTATACATCCATGGGGATGACATTTTGACCTTTTTATCAAAAACCAAAGAGCGAATAAATGTGTGCAAAGAGCTAATTACAAGCACAAACTTAAAATGAATTACCGAAAATATACAAAAAACTTGTGTTAAACCTCAAAAAAGGAGATCAAAAACATCCAGAAAACTATAGAGGTATAAACTTGTTAAATACTACGCTAAAACTAACAACTAAAATTTTACAAGTGTAAAGTTTTACAATAAATCAGAGGATAAGTTTAGCAGATGACCAGAGCGTTTTCGTAGTGGAAGATCGTATTCAAATGCAATATTTCTGATAAAGCAAATTACTGAGTAATCACTAGAGTAGAATAGACGATCATTTCTGTGTCTGGTTGACCTAAAGAAAGCGTTTTGCAGAGTAAGATAGATAGATAGTTTAGTTGACTGTAAGTTACAACTAGGTTTACAGCAAGTCAAAACTAAAATTTTAAATATTACAAAAAATGGAAACAGTACATTAAAATATTTGAAACATTAAAATACTTAAAAAACGTACAATATAGACATATAATTAAAATAATAAATTTGGTTATGTTGCAGCTTAGGCATTCACAGATACACCCTCGTAATATTCACCTAATGTATAAGGACACATGGTCACTAGGTACTCTTTGACTTGGTTTTTAAAAGCTGTAGTTGAATTAATGTTTTTAAATTTTTGAGGAAGTTGATTACACAGTAGTAAACCACAGGTAGTAGATGACTTCCTACTTATTTCTAAATGTCGATAGGGTACTACAAACTGTCTCTTATTTCTTGTGTTGTGTGAGTGAATATCACTGTTACATAAAAAAGTTCTTTTATTTTTATGAATTAGTATCAATAATTCCAAAATGTAAATTCCATACACTGTTAATGTATTTAAATCTCTAAATAGATTTTTACAAGACCAACCATACGGAACACATCTGACAATACGATTTTGGGTCTTGGAAACGTCCTTACACTAGAAGAACCACCAGACAGTTATACCGTAACTTATTGTCGATTGTACCTCAGCAAAATAAAAAAGACGAAGGTGTTGCAGACTAAGTATTCTACCCAAATTTCTCAATTGATAACATTTAGAATTAAGTTTTTTACATTCCAACAATGAGTCTTAAAAGATAAATGAGAGTCGAAAGTCACTCCTAAAAACTTCACATCACTACAACTCAAAATACCCTCACCATTGATGGAAATACTTAAATCAGGTTTAGTAGAATTTAAACGTGATGTAAATGATAAAAAATTAGTTTTGTGAACATTGAACAGGAGCGACTGATTACTGGACCATTCAGAGAAGGTCTTCAGTGAGTTTGTTATTTTATCTTGTAAAAAATTTATGTCTTTATCGTGATATATAAATCTGCATCTATCATCCGCATAAACTGATACAAATGCGTCAGACATTACATATGGTAGTTCATTAATATACAAAATAAATAATATAGGGCCCAATATGGAGCCCTGTGGTACTCCATTCTTATTAACAATCGGATCAGACATTGAAATCGTGAAGTTATTTTTCACTTTAACTATTTGGTGCCGGTCTTTCAGATAGGAACCAAACTAACTATGGGCAACTCCCCTAACACCATATCTGTAATATGGTGTTAAATTGTAACGCAGAAAGTTATGGCGAAATTAGATCGAGGATAGAGCAGTCTAGAGCTGGTAAAGTTTATCTTGATTTCCTCCCTCTTTTACAGTTCTAACTTTACTGTAACCGTCAGAGGCCTGCGTAGCTGACTCTTATTCGAGGGCGGCGGATAAGACATCAACCAGAGTCTTGTGACGAGCTAATCGCAGTGTTCTCTGCATTTCATGATCACGAAGACTATCAATAAATGTTTGAACAGCCAACTTTTCGATCATGTCTTCGGGAGCTATGTTGGATAAGCATATCGTACTAATCTGGCAATATCTACCTTATATTCTTGAAGAGCCTCATCTCTCTTTTTATTTTTTTAAGCTGCGACTGATATACATGCTCCAAATGTTCGTGGCCATATCGCATATTTAACATCTTCTTAAGTTATTCGAAATCATCCGTCTCCTCTACGGCTATGGTCTGAAGCACATCTAAGGCATCTCCTCGAAGAGCGATAGTCAGGTTTTTTCTTTTTCAGACCATCCATTCGCTCTTGCAGCTGATTCGATCTGTTTCATGTAGTTGTCCATGACGATTTTCCGTCGAAAGTTGGGACTTTGACATGAACAGAACCTCCACTTCCTTCAAATTTCGGCCGTGTTTCCAACTTACATTTCGTCTCGTCTTCTTTTGTCTCTACTGTAATTGGATTGTTTCCTCTCTCTGCTGTCGCTGTTTCCTCCATCTTCCCTTCCATCTCTTTCATCTTTTCTTCGAAGGCCAACTTATCGGCAGCAACTTGGTTTTTTAACGAAGATATTCTATCGTTGACGGCAGACATCTCAGAAGTGACTTTAGAGATGTTAGCAGAAACTTTGCTTTCCAGAGAAGAAATCTCGTTAGAAACTTTGTTTTCTAAAGAAGCGATGTCGTCGGAAACTTTGATCTCTAATGATGCGATGTCACCAGAAACTTTCGAAATATCGCCAGAAATCTTCGAAATATCGCCAGAAACTTTGTTCTCTAATTTCGAAATCGACGAGATGACAGCAGCATGTTTGACTTCAAATATATAAGTGTCCGTGTCCAAACCCTCTTCCTCCAAAGCGTTATTTAGTCGTTGGACTAAATCAGCCTTTTTTCCGGTAGAAGCTAATTCTCTGGCCTCGAGATGTCTTCTTAAATTCGTAACTGTGAGCTCATAAATCGTAGTCATTTTCACAATTTATTTAAAGTTCCACTCTGACACCAATGAACTATTTTTATAAATCTAATTTATCAACTTTGTTTATTATAAAAAAATGTTCTAACACTTAGTTTATTAGAGTCATTATTTAATTTATATATATTCTTACAATTATTTATTTTACACTATACACTGTTCTAATTTACATAATTTATTTCCGCGTTACAATTCAACGACTCGATTCAATTCTCTTTTCAGACTAACTGTTTACAATAAAGTCCTCTATATATATTAAATAACCGTTAGCTGGAGTTCCCTCGAACCGGCTGCTGACCTTTCTTGAACTCTTCTTCTTGATATTGCCTACTAAAAAAAATACTTGTTAGAGAAAAATGTTTACAGCTTAGGTTATGAGTCATATTTATCGTAATAGTAGTTTACCATAAAAAAGTGTTTTAATCTCTCAATGTTTAAAGAAAATATATCACACCCTTTGTATATCTTAAAAAATTAGAATTAATAAAATATTCTTCCCGAAATTACTAAAATTTGATGTATCGTCGTAATCGTTATGACCATGACATGACAAGAAAAGCTGATCATATTTTTAAGGGTCTACAGTTAATAGTTATCATGTTTTGGTTGAAATAAATCTTTTGCTCCTTATAAGGGTGCTTCTCAACTATTCAAATGAAAGTTCTATATCTAGAAGTCAGTTCTACTAGAAAATCCTACTATTTTCAAGTCCTCCAAGACATTTATGTTGCTTGATCGCTGAATGCCAGGCGTAAATTGGACGTATGTTAAACAGCAGAGATATTTCTTTGGCAGCAGACTAGAAAAGGAAAAGACGAGTGTCAGGCACCTAAAACTAAACACATTGGCCAGGAATATAACAAGAAATTCGGCACTGCAAGGATAGTGATTAACTAATAAGCATATTGGTCTTATATATCTGAAAAACTTGCGGTAAAAATCCCAATGAGACAAGTGAAATTTTTGCAGGGCTGCAATTCCCACACAAATTAGATTATAAAAACGAAGAATGACAACTAGTCGTTCAATATTCGACATCGACGCCAACGCCAAACAAAAGTGACATGTTATCTTGTTTTATGTCATTCCACATTCTGTCAACTGCCCGGTAGGAGCCAACTTTAAAGGGTAGAAGTAAAATTATCTATTGAATTGAGTCGATAAAAACGATATGGTAAGTACTTATTGGTTTTAATAAAACAACCTTCCTTACTAATACATTAAATTTTATATTTTAGATGTATGAAGTTGAAGGAGAACACGATAGTGACTACGAGGAAGGCGATAGTGAAATATTTAGCCCCTCTTTCAAACCGTCTTATGTAGTAGTGGCGATTGATACGCACTCATGCATGTTTAAAAAGGGCGAAAATGGAAAAATGCCGTTTCGTATGTGTCTTGAAGCCTTGGCAGAAGTGATGGAAACCTTAATTTTCAAAAAAGACACCCGATCTTGGAGTCCCTTTGCTGTTGTCTTAGCGGGTGCCGATACGCCTTTAATCAGTTTTAGTCAAAGTGTATTGGATACTATTAAGTTACTGCAAGAAAAATGTAAACAGACAGATGCTGAACTGATCACACAGTACCAAAGAAAAACTGTTTTAAATCTTTCATCATTTTTTCTTACTTGCAAGAAAGTATTCCACGAAATAAAGTCTGTTTTTTATAAAAGATCCCTGATTTATTTGAGCAATGACGATAAACCTGTAACTGACAAAACTGCTAGGTTTACAGCCTTCAATGAAATTAAAACTTTTGCAGCCAGTCAAATTGAATTTCAAGTTATTCCTACAATACAAGATTTTAAGTACAATTTTTTTTATAATGAATTATTCAGTATTATTGGTAATCCAAAACGAGAAGAAATCTGTACTGATACAGAGGGTTTAACAGAAAAATTGTCTTCTTTAATAATGGTGGCTATCAATGAATATCAAGTACTTTTCTATCCTTTTCGAGATGATCCTGAACGATTTTTGAAATGTAAACGATTCTCTTTTACTACAAATATACAGCTGTACAATTCATTCATGACAAAAGATGGAAAAAAAGTAATTAATACAAATGCTCCTAGTAATGAACCAGTATACTTTAAAATCAGATCTAGCGATCCAGACCTAGATCATATGAGGTTCGATTCTCTGGAGAAGGAGAGTTTGAGGGATACTGTAACTCCCAAGGGTCTTACTCTAGCCTATGTTGGAGATAGACAAATTGGTTTGGGTCATATGTTCTTTTCTTCTCACTTGATTAAAGTGGATCCAACAGAGACCTTGCCATTCTTTAATAAATTCTGGGATCACTGTGTACATTCAAACAAAGTTTTGGTTTGTCTTTCAAAAAATAATCAGCCTGATAGACCTAGATATGTTGAGCTTATTCCTATCATAGCTAATGGACAGCAGATGTTCTTAGGTAATTTTTTAACTTAATATTTTCTTTTTAACTAACATGTATTCATATTTGATTATCTTTTTGGTACTTCAATTTTACATTTAAATAAGATTTGAAAAATGTTAACAGCTAAATTTGAAATTATTTTTTTGGCAGTTTAAAAATTGGGTATTTCCTTCAGTTTTTCACAAACTTTACCCATATTTTGCACATATAAATACAAGTGGTACATTCAGAAAACTTCAGTGGTTGGACAGCTGACTAGGTGGTAGTGTTCAGCTGCCTTAATGATAAGCCACTGGAAGTTAGCTGCTGTTAAATTTGCTAAGGATACTTTTCCCACTGGATGAACTCAGCATTTGCTTTGCCGTGTGTGGTACACCATAATGTGGTTTCTTATATTCTTTAGCAAATCTAAAAATAATGTGTTTGACCATCACATTAATACAAGCCTTCTCTCAAGAGTGACTGAAGTAAGAGATTTGGTGGTGTTATGCGACAGTTCCTTGTCATTTATCCCTCACAAAGAATTACACAAAAATCGAAGATGAGTGAATCATAGAAACTTTTATTTAAAAAACCATTATAAAAGGTATCTCTGATTCTTGTGTTGCCATGATGTAAATCTGTTTATAACTAAAACATCATTTAAATTAATAAACAGATATGTACTAATTTACAAAGTTAACAGCATTTAAAGGGTTCTTCCCACATATTCACTCATGTATACCTGGTAACTGCACTGATGATAGACTTATTAGACCGAAAACATTCTGTGATGTAACCTGACAGAGCATTCTTAGAATATATATACCTGTTATAAAGGTTTTTTTAAATAAAAGTTTTCATTATTTAATATTTAGTTTTAGTATTTTTGTTATGGTTAGGATATTCTGTTTTTTTTTAATTTTTGTAAAAATGGGGACATCTTGTAAATAAATATGAAATGTAAAGACAAATGCATCAGAAGGTTTTTGTATGCTGATTTAAAGCTACTAGTTACAATCACGAAGCTGCTTTGTACTTAAAGGCAGCTGCTGAAGGTACCCAAATTTTCTTGGTCTTGGCTACTTTCACATTTCTCATCTACAGTAGAAGAAAGAGAATACACAAGCCAGCGATGACAAACTTTTTTACTAGAAATACCTTATCCTTATGTCCTCACAGAGTACTGAATCTATATATAATATTTACTAAGTTGTATTCCTACCATTTTCTCATATCTTATAGTTAATTTTATTAAATGACACTTTCATAAAGCACTGAACAGCTTTTATATAGTTAAAATCTATTTAAAAAATAGATGTAATGGATTGGTAGTATTGCTAAAACACTTTTGTTAAAAGCTGATGTTTTGTTTACTGTCAACCTAATCTCAGTTTCATCTTTCCAGTACAATATGCTCTGTATGATGTCTAATCATGGTTGTAAAAACTGTTGACAGTTTTTGTTACATTTGTGGTGAGTTTGTGATTAAAAAACACAACCAAACATGGATCTTGTGAAAAAGGTTTATCTGTCATACTTTGGAACTAAACATGGTTATCATGACAAATTGTGGGTACCCTATTTTGTTTATGTATTTGTTGAAAATCTAAGAAATGGTCAAAAAATCAACAAAAAAAATCCTTTAAATTTGCTGTTTCTATGATATAGAGGAAGTCAAGCAGTCATTCTGATGATTTTTACTTTTGCAGTTGTGATATTTCTGGTCATAACTCAAAAAATAAGAAAGTAAAAAGTTACCCATCATCTGTCACTGTTTCCCCAATAAAGTACAGTGTAGATTTCCAGTGCCTTAATCTCCAGATGATTCAAATTGTATTTATAATTTTTAATGGCACAATTTGAGTTACATGTGCATTCATATGCATCTTATATTGATTTATTCCTTTTTTTTTAGAAAAACGGCTACCGTTTGGAAATGAAATAGTATTGCCTTTCAAAGCAAAGTTTCCTGAAGAAGAAGTAGACGACAAGAGAAAACTTGCCATAAAAAAGTTAGTCGACCAACTAACATTTGATTTTAATCCCAAAATGTTACCGGACATCTCGTTGCAAAAGAAAAAGGCCTATGTCAAAGCAAAACTATTAGGAAAATTTCCAGAACCAGTTAATGATGTCCAAGTAGATAACACCGTATTGGATGGCGTCCTTGAGGATATAGTAACAGAAATACAGCAAAAGTTTAACTTTGCCGACAGTTCATTAAAAAGGAAAGCCCCACCAACCTACTACAGGAAAAACAAGAAAGGGAAATAATCAACAAAAATGTGTGTTTTTAAATATTTTTATACTGAATTTTGTTTAGTTTCTACGTTAATATTAAAATTTGAATAAAAGATTCTTTTGCAGTGCTTTTTCATTTTACTATTGTCTTCTTCACCACTCCGATCAGTTTACTGTTTATGTTCACAAGATGTGCCAGCTTAAATGAATTTCTATTCAGTAGTAGACTAGGCGGAATCTGTAGAAATTTAGACCATAATGGACATTTTCCATAGGAAGCTATTTTTTTGCTGGAATCCCTTCAGGATGTGCCCAATATCGATAATCACGATATGCGCCAGTCGCAAACCCTGTGCTAAATTTTTTATTTAACAAAATCTGAAAACAATTGAAAATTTCTCATTTTTTGCCTCCTATTTTCGTCCTTCTTTGTACTTTGAAATACTGCGGAAACAACAAAGGGTTCATAAAATATATAATTTTTATAGAAATGGTTAGCTTTTTCGGGATTTAAGAAAGATTTAGAGGAACTTGTATCTACCAGTAACTTTAATGGAGGATCATGAATCTGAATATATGGCAGTTCTCTTTTATTTGTGGAAAAATTTAATTCTATTAAGTTGGTCGGTTTTGAGAGATGTTGTCTTGAAAATTTTGATGATGCTCTTCGTTAACAATATCAAAATCTTGTTGATAAGAAGTCTGAGGAGTATTGTGATTATCACTATTATTAATGGATTCGTATTCGGTACTATATAATTCTTCGAATGTAAAATTTTGGTTTGGATTTCTAGGGTTGTGGAAATTATTTCTGAAATGGGGAGTACTATTTCTAGTAGTTGTACTCATAGGAGTAGATGTGTTTGGAGCAAAATTGGGATTTGTTCGCCAAGCGTTCTGAGCTGGCTTGTTAGAGTTTTGAAAGCTATTTCTGAACTGGGGGTTACTATTCCTAGTAGATGTACTCATGTTGGTGGGTCTGTTAGGAACAAAATTTGGATTTGGTCGCCACACATTTTGAGTTGGCCTATTAGAATTTTGGACATTATACTGATAGTTTTGGGGAGTGTTTCTTTGATACTGATGTGGTTGTGAAGGTTGAAACTGTCTATTATTGTGAGAATTTATTTGGGAATGAAAGTTATAGTTTTGGTTTCTAGAATATTTGTTAGTATTATTATTATTATTATTAAAATTTTGACTTTTTTGATAATATTTAATATTATCTTCTTCTTTAATAAATTGTATAGCTTGCTCGATAGATTGTGGTCTCATTGCCCGAATTATAGGTCCTAAAGGTTCTCTTAAACCTGCTAAAAATGTTTTTAATGCTTGTTTATTAAAGAAATCTCGTTTATATGCACGCTCCTGACCAAGATGGTGTAAATCTATATAGTTACAAATAGAAATTAATAAATCTAGCACCTTTTCATGAAACTGATAAGGTGTTTCGTTTGGTTTTTGTTTAAGATTAACTAGGTCTTGATTTAGGCAATTTTCATCTCTTTGACCAGCAAAATTTAAAATTAATGTATTTTTTATACCATCCCAATCAGTGTTACCGCTAATCGCAATTATCTCTTCAGCTCTTCTAATTTATTTAATATACCATTTAATAATAAACAATTTTGAAAGCTATTAGGATTATTTGTATCAAAATAATGCTGTAAGATTGATTCGGTAGCATTGATAAATCTATAAAGTTTATTGATATTGCCATCAAAACGAGGAATAATGGCTAAATTTGCGATATCTAACTTAGGTACAATAATATTAGCATTTGAAGTACTTGATGAAGTCATTTTCTATTTATTTATTACTTTTCTTTCTTAATTATATTCTTATCAATCAAAAAAAATAATAACTAACTAATACGTACTCTTGACTATTATTTTCACAAAAGGATTTAATAGGCAAAGAGGAGTCTGAATATGAATAAAAATTATTAGCTTACCACATTTATGTACTTCTGCTTGATGTCCCTGGAAATTCTGGATGTCCGGATGGAGCCCAAAATCACTGACAGTTCGAAAAGTTTTTGAAAAACGGAAACCGGTTCTTTTTTCGTTAAAGAGTTAAAACTCACGAATATCCGCAATGGAATTCTACGAAAAATCCACTAAGACTGCGCCACTAATAGTTTCTGCCCTTCAGGGACGATTTTTAAAAAATAATTATTTACTTTACAAATGCGAGAACTTTATTACAATATTAAAATCGGACTTCACAGTACAAAGATTCAAATCAGACTGAATTATAATTCATAAAATAAAATACATTACACATTGGAAAATAAAACAATAATTCATAAGTTGCACTTTTACATTCAGGTCGATCATAGTTCAGGTGAAGACGCATCGGATTTAGGGTATTGGCTTATGGGGTCAACGACTATAAGTCGAGTCTCAATTTTGTTTAGGCATGCACGAGTTAGAGTTATGGTTTGGGGTGCTATAGCTTATGGTTCCAGGTCACCTTTAATCTTTATCAGAAGTAACATGAACACGCAGCGTTATATCCAAGAAGTTCTAGAACCCCACCTTTTACCCTATCTTGACACCCTGGCAAATCTAACTTTATAACAAGATAATGCCCGACCACATGTTGCGAGAGTCACAATAGACTTCTTTCAACATATTGATGTCACATTGTTAGCATGGCCACCAAGATCTCCCGACTTATCTCCAATTGAGCCAGAACTACGGGAGACTAACAGGAGCAATAATCACCTCAGCAAAAGCGACAATCCCTAGAGGATACCGCAAAGAATATATCCCTGGTTGGACAGAACAGAGCGAAAAACTGTATGAAGAATATTGCGAAGATGGAAAGCAGGAGATCGCAGACGAACTACTCCACAGCATTGATGCTGCCAGGCGTGAAAAATGGACACAGACAGTAGAAAACGTAGACTTCCAGAAGTCAGGTCGACAAGCTTGGCCCCTACTGCGGAAACTCGGAAGTAGCAACCCACCCGTTCGCCAAACCAACCTAGTAACTCCAGACCAAATAGCTACGCACATAGTGTCAACCTCTAGGGCACCTCAAAATCGTTTACATACAATTAAAGTTAAAAAAGACCTCAAAACCATAAAATCTAGTCTTGCACAGTCAACAGAATATTCCAACCCATTTACGCATGAAGAAATATCGCAAGCCCTAAATGAAATGAAAACAGGAAAAGCGCCGGGTTTCGACGCTATTCACGCTGAGTTCCTCAAACATAGCGGCAGATTCACTAGGCAATGGCTCGCAGAATTCTTTTCTGACATCCTTCAAACGGGAAACGTCCCCCACCAACTCAAAAATGCAAAAATCGTCGCCATTTTAAAACCAGGGAAAAGTAATAATTCACCGAAAAACTACCGCCCCATCGCACTCTTAAGTATGGTGTACAAATTGTTCGAAAGACTGTTGTATAATAGAATCAGCAAAACCATATTCCAACACTTACCAGTGGAACAGGCAGGATTTCGGCCAAACCGCAGCTGCACAGACCAGGTACTCGCCCTGACCAATTATGTGGAATCAAACTTTCAAAAGCAATCAAAAACAACCGCTGTCTTCATCGATCTATCTGCTGCTTATGACACTGTGTGGCGACAAGGGGCAATATATAAATTAATGCGAATAATCCCATGCAGAAAGACCACTGAGGTTATTAACGCCATGCTATCCAACAGATGCTTTAAAGTTATATTGGGAGACAAGACTAGTACCCAAAGAAAACTGAATAATGGACTTCCACAAGGATCCGTGCTGGCCCCCTTGCTTTTCAGCCTCTATATAGCAGACATGCCAGAAACCACATCAAAAAAAGTTTGGATACGCAGACGACTGGACGCTTGCCGCAAGTCATAAAGAATTCGAGGTCACTGAACGCATTCTAACAAACGATTTAAATGCCCTAGGGAATTATTTCCGAAAATGGAGATTGCAACCCAATCCAACTAAGACAGAAGTGTCCTGCTTCCATTTATATAACAAGATGGCCAACTATCAACCTCAAATCAATTTTGGGGATAGACTCCTTAAATATAATAAACACCCAAAATACTTAGGTGTTACACTTGACAGAACGCTGAACTTTAAAGAGCATCTTACTAAGACTGCTGCAAAACTCCGAACTCGTAACAACATCCTGCAAAAGCTCTGCGGCACTACATGGGGCTCCTCAGCACCCACACTTAGATCGACAGCATTAGGACTGGTATACCCCGTAGCGGAATACTGTGCACCAGTATGGATAAACAGTCCACATACTCACCGTGTTGATGTCCAACTCAACCAAGCCATGCGAACTATATCGGGCACAATCAAGGCCACGCCCACTTACTGGTTACCAGCTTTGAGTCATATAGCTCCACCACCCATCCGCCGGGAACATGCCCTTGTCAGAGAATTTACAAAAATCAATACTGATCCTGAGCTCCGCTCCCATGTCGGAACTTCCGCCAGAGACATAAATAGGCTCCGTTCAAGACACCCGCCTCTAAAAACAGCAAAAAGGCTAGTAGATCAAAACTTTAATGTAACTGAACGGTGGAGAGAACAATGGGAGAATAACGCTGCACCAGCTAACTGGAACATGCCATGTATTACAAGCAAACCTGAGGGCTTCAACCAACCGAGACGAATTTGGACCACACTCAATAGAATAAGGACGAACTGTGGCAGATGTTCCGACTCACTTTTTAGATGGGGAAAAATACAATCACCAAATTGCGACTGCGGCGCCGAAAGGCAAACAGTAAAACACATGGTAGAGGAATGCCCGATTAGATCCTATAATGGCAACCCTTCAGATTTCCTGGCTGCTACAAAAGAGTCAATCGAGTATATTTATAATCTAGATGTTTGTTTGTAGAATAATATTTTTATATTTACTTTTGTTTGTAATTTATATCATTTATATACAGTCAAAATCGTTTACAACGACACCGGCTATAACGTACAATCGGATATAACAAACAAAATAGTAGGTCCCATAAAATGACATACAAAAAACGCATTTATATTGCTTATAATGAACAAATCGGTTAGAGCAAACGTATTTCTTGGAACACTAGTAGTTAAAATATTGGTTACAGCGTACATCTTAATAAATAAGTTTAAAAGTGCTATCCTG